GCACTCTCTCTCCCCCTCTGTTTGTCAGGACTCGTGGATGTGTGGTGTTGCTGCAATTGTGCTTTTATTAAATTCTTGTCTAAGGGATCTCTAAGATTAGAGTAAGATAAATGATTAAAAAATAAACGCCCCTCATACTCAAAGCCAAAGATTCAATTCACATGGCCAAATTGAAGAGAGGGGGGGGGGAGATACTCCGTATCCAAACTGGAAGATATTTGACAAATTAATCAACCTCTCCACACAGAATTTAAACTCACGTCTTCTGTGTGCAACAGCCGAGAACCTGACCACTACACCCCAGATACTGGTTGCTTGGAGTTTGGAAGGATTCTTGTTGCGCTCTTACTGAAAGACAATAATATTATGTTTAGTCTATCTGGAGCTTCATATAGCTGTCACTTTGTCAGTCAGTATGCTTTCCTTGTCAACGAAAGATCCCAGACTCGACCATCTCACTGCCTCACAAGATGCTTTCACTTTCAGTATGTTTTATGGCTCTCTTATTCTGGTTCTACCCAATTGGAAATGGACACCTAACCGTTGGAAATTACGTTGAAAGAACCCCAGACTCTTAAGTCACGTTAAACCTACCGGTACTCAAAACAAAGCAAGATGTGCATATAATGAAGACTATGATGGAACCCCCCCCCCCCCCCCACCTTTCCCCCTATAAGGGGCCTTGATCTACGGGTTGAAATTAGAAGTCTTCCACCTATAAAATGATTGTCTGTTGTCAAAAATGGTGTGAAACTTGAGCGTGAACAAACTGACTGTTGTTGTCAAAAATGGTTTGAAACTTGAGCGTGAACAAACGAAAGTTTTGCCTTTTGATTCTGAACATGCTAACTGTCACGTCCCGGTCCCAGCTTTCTCTTAGCACTTCGCACCCCCCCCCCCCTCTCCACCCGGAAACCTCCTCCTTCCTCTGTACCGCAAGACCGGCTTGTGTTCTGGAGTCCGACTGATTTCTCCGGTCGATAAGAGAAATCGATTGATTGATCGATGACAGCAGTGAGACTCGAGAGGGTTCCATATCACCACAGGTGGGCGGGTTGGTCTACAGGACGGACCTCTAGGGTTTCCCAGCGATCACACCCCCGGACACTTTCTCCGTACTAGGCAAAAGTTGTCAATTGACACTTCTTATCTCCACGGCTAGTTCAAGAAACTTGCCGCTCACTATATTTTTGTTTTCTACCGGGCAC